TTGGAATACAGAATATCTATAAACAAACTGAACGATGCATTTGGAGCTCAATATTTGCCATATCTATGAGAGAGCAATACTCAGAGGAATTTAAGATGTTTTTGTGAACTTAAAAAATAGGATCAGCTCTTCATATGATCAGCCCTTCGTATGTTTAGATAAACAAAAGCAATTTTGATGTCTTTCACTCAATTCAGTCCTCTGTTTAATGTATTGGAAATGCATTAATGCATACGATTTTGTGTTTAAAACAGTCATATTTACCATCAATTCTTGCGGATAACATACACTCCGGCCATAAATCGAGTTAAATGTTTGCAAATAATTAAATTTATAGATATTTATATGATTTGTAAAATTCGTATTATATTATACGCTATTTATTTTGTTAAGGATTGCAAAACGACTGAAAGAATTGTGAAATTATTTAGTTATTAACAATTTATTTGAATGTTTATGAAGTGAAGTAATTATTCCGACGCAAACATTAACCAATTATTTATGCCGTTTTGGGTTTTAGTATTAAAACCAAACGAAATTGGAATACAGAATATCTATAAACAAACTGAACGATGCATTTGGAGCTCAATATTTGCCATATCTATGAGAGAGCAATACTCAGAGGAATTTAAGATGTTTTTGTGAACTTAAAAAATAGGATCAGCCCTTCATATGATCAGCCCTTCATATGTTTAGATAAACAAAAGTAATTTTGATGTCTTTCACTCAATTCAGTCCTCTGTTTAATGTATTGGAAATGCATTAATGCATACGATTTTGTGTTTAAAACAGTCATATTTACGATAAATTCTTGCGGATAACATACACTCCGGCCATAAATCGAGTTAAATGTTTGCAAATAATTAAATTTATAGATATTTATATGATTTGTAAAATTTGTATTATATTATACGCTATTTATTTTGTTAAGGACTGCAAAACGACTGCAAGAATTGTGAAATTATTTAGTTATTAACAATTTATTTGAATGTTTATGAAGTGAAGTAATTATTCCGACGCAAACATTAACCAATTATTTATGCCGTTTTGGGTTTTAGTATTAAAACCAAACGAAATAATTAGGTTTTTAAATATAAAATGTGTTCATTGAGTGCCACAATATATGATGTCTGCAGACGTATCATAAGAAGTGTAGTGTATGTCAACAATCAGTTTATTCAGTGAAACAATTGTATACAAAACGAAAATGAAGACATGAAATGACATGAACTCTAGAAGAGTGAGAGTGATATAGAAGAGAGAGAGATTGATAGAGAAATGCATTTCTTTGGTTTGATTTGCGAAATCTATAAAATGAGAAATTATTTTCCAGAGAGAGAGAGAGAGAGAGAGAGAGAGAGAGAGAGGAGGGAATTGTGAGGGAATATGAATCGGATTTTTTGATACAACTTCTAAATATAGTATCATTTTATTGATTTTAAGGTTCTCTACAACTCTAGCGACTAATCTTAAACTGTTATACTATTTATTCTAATGGTTGGGCTCTGTATTGAAAATAAAACATTTGCTCCAAGTCTTAGACATAACGGCACAGAATTTACTCCAAGTGTTCAAATGGAAATAAAACAGAGCTCTGAAGAGAGAGAGAGAGAGAGAGAGAGAGAGAGAGAGAGAGAAGGAGTAATGATCGCGAGTTTAAAGAAAAAAGAGAAATATAATAACAAATTGATTTCTGGATTTCAACAAAAATATTTTCTACAATTGCTTCACAGATGTCTTCAAGAAATGGAAAATAATTTCTCATTTTATAGATTTCGCAAATCAAACCAAAGAAATGCATTTCTCTATCAATCTCTCAATATTTGATTTAATGGTTGTGTGTTTTTTAAGACACATATCGTGAACATCACTTGCGTTGAGAGTTTTGTTGATAAAAATCTAATAAATGCTAAGCATTTGAGTAAAGAAGAGCTTAAGAGTCGTCTGAGATATCATTGATTTAGAAAAACAAACCACAAGTTTTGGTAAAAATAACGAGTTTAGAGAAAAATGCATTTTTAGGCAATTATAAGCATATTTGGTATGTTTGAGGCTTTAGTATTACTGATTAAATTATAAAGTTTTGTATATTTATTCAAAATTACACGAAAATGTTTGTTTGCATTAGAATTAAAACAAATTATAGATTGTTTTGACAGAAACCTCAATAATAATACACTTTTATTTTGACATTATTTTAATTATAAACACAAAATATGACACGAAATCAAAATTACGGATGAATTGAACGGCAAAATGAATGCACTCTTGGAAGAGGTTATCGTCTCTCGACGCCGACAATGAGTTGTTTTGCCTGTAAGAGGAACCGCCCCTTATTGAAGATGACGGGCACATCAGTGTTGGCCACTCTGGAGAAGCGGAACTGCTGTGACATCTTCGCGAGCGCTAACTTCGCCTCCAATAACGCGAATCGCATTCCAATGCAATTTCGAGGCCCCGAACCGAACGGGATATAAGTGTAAGGCTTTATGTTATCACGATTTTCGGGCATAAATCTGTCGGGTCTGAAGACAAACGGTTCCGGATAGTGATCGGGATCGTGATGTATGGCGTAGACGGGAATCTCGGCGACCACTCCTTTCTCCACCTTAAGGCCGGTGTCGCCTAACTCTATGTCTTCCATCGCTTCCCTCTGGAGCCGAAGAAGTGGCGGATAATTACGAAGCGTTTCGGACAGAAGCGCGTCAATGAATGGCAGTCTCGAGAGGACATCGTAACTGATTTCTCCCTTTTCATTGAACGCTTCTTTGCATTCTTCGTAGAGTCTGTCCTGAAGGTCGGGATTGAGAGCCAATTCGTACGTACAATAAGACAAAGTGGTGGCCGTTGTCTCGTAGCCGGCGATGAAGAATAGGAAACATTGGGCTAATATCTCATCTTCGGTCAACTTCTTCTCAATAACATTACTGAGAGCCGCGGCGTCCGCTTCCAACTCGTCTTTGCCTTCGTTCACGTGATGCGCTTCGTTGGCGTCGCTGTCCTCCCGGACGTCACCATCACTTCTCTCGACATCCATCAACAGCTGAAAGAAATCGTTATGTTTTTTATTTGAAGACTTCCTTTCGTTTAATAAATTTCGTGAGAAATCAACAAAAAAGTCCGAATTTGTTGAACCGTTGATTAGTTGGCGAATCGCCTGAATCTTTGTTATAAATGATGGCAAAGCTGTCATTACAAACGCCTTCCAGAGGGGAAAGTGAAAGATGTTATTGGCTTTAGTGGTAAATGGATTGTCTGGATTGGCATATGTATTGGTTTTGGTAGCGAAAGCAGTGCTGGCGATCACATCCATAGTAAACGCTCCCATCAGTTGTTTTAACTCGACTTCGCTCTTATTTGCGGCCAATTTATCCAAATTATTGATGAAATCTTTGGAGCACTCATTGATAAGTGCATACATTTTCTTCATTTTGCCGGACGTAAACGTAGGGCTGGCTATGGCTCGGATGCGCTTCCAGTCGTCGTCTCTGGCAATAAACATATTCTTGGAGAATATCTTATGTCGACTTCCGTTATCCATTCGGTTACGGAATTTGTGAAAGTCTTTCACCAGAACTTGTTTGACGAGCTCTGGTTCGGCGATTGTGAGCCCGGGTTTATTACCATTATAGACGCCATACAATCGCCCATGGGCGCGGTACCAATCCATCTCCACAAACGGTTTTGCAAGAAAAATATTGCTTAAAAGGTTGCCGAATATCGGCACCGCTTTTGGTGTCGGAATATTACGGTCTTTCCAATAACTGAGTGCTCGTTTCCATGTGCTGTACGAGTGGTTTGTAATTCAAATTATTTGTAATTATAAAATATTAATTTATTAAAACTACTTACAAATGATAATATGCGAGAACGGCCACAATTGCCGTAATTAAATACCATTGATAGTATTCACAGACAGCTCCTAACAAACAAGCCATTGCTGTCAGTTATATCTCTTAATATTGTGTAACTAATAAAAAGTTATTTTGTAATAAATAATTTAATAGTAAAGCAACGTATTTATATAAAATTTTGCACTAAATTTTGTATTTTGCACTAACTATTTTATATTACTCGAGTAACTCTGTATTACTTTGTAATATTGTAAGTTTGTATCATTAATTATTTAATCAGTTTGTGATTAGATTAACGTACAGTAAATGTTAGCACAACTCAATTGAACGCAAAATGAGTATTCAATTTTAGTCTAACTGCCAGACAATGTAAAAAACATCTTCAATACAAATCAAAGCCATTAATATTGACGTTAATATTAATTTATTGTTTTGTTAATAGTATATTGAATGAAATGCTTAAGTGATTCGTTAGATAATTACTTAATAATATCAATAGTGTATTGTGTTTACTGAATGCAGCAATTGATTTGTTTGAAGACAAACATATGATGAATATTCAAAATTTATATACAGTATATGCATAACAATTACATACAGAATAAGACAATAACTTATAATTCAGAATCTGATTATTTTTATTCAAAAGCCAAATGTTTAGGTAATGAATGTGTATTTAAAGGTCACTGACTTATGAATTAAGCGAAATATAAATGACAATCACGTAAAAGGCTGGGGATATGCGACATATAATATGCACACAAAAAATAATAGTCTGTAATAATAGGGAAAACAATTGAGGAGTTAATGAAAAATAAATTCTAATTTTCAGCAGAAATATTATTATTGTGTTAATAATTAATGAATAAATTTTACGATTGGTTTCATTTAAATGCATTGCAAAGCCATTGAAAAAAGTGATGTTTGTCTGTATTGTTCTCTCTATGCAGACAATTGTCTGTAAAATAATGTGATGACAAATATTGAACAACTCATGCAAAATGTAATTTTAGTTTAAGATTGTTTTTAATACAATTTGTTTTGTTGTGAAAAATTTCTGCTCAATTTAATGGCAGATATTTTGTAGCAAAAACGGAAAGTGTTTAATAAATAACAAGAGTTCCCAAAAGGATATAACCCTATTGTTAGACACTTTTAGATTTATTATATTTTTTGTGTAATAATATACGAAAATAAATTGTTATATGTTGTGAAAACAAAAGGGAAATATTAGTTTAAAATTATAAAATTTATTTTAATATAATTTAATTGTTAGACTAGTAAATAGCGTGTGAATGGATGTCTTACTAGTACTGCAATCGTTGGCAAACATTTACATTAAATTAAATTTTGTACCCAACTGTACCCTTAATACTATACAATGTAATACATTATATAACGTAAATTATACAGTATTTTTAGTACAAACATTAGTGTAAATTATGATAAATTGCAATCCTATACTTAACGTCGTATCGTATCTTAACATTAAAAATATCCCAACCAAACTCATCCACACCATAAACATCACCGGCAAAGAGGACAACTCCGCCCAACCCCTCCACTCCTGCAACTCAAGGACGACTCGGACAGCACATCCCAACCAAACCACAACTACTCTCATCTCAAGCCATGGGACACAACACTCATCGCCAGCGCAGCGCAGCTCCGGCCCCAACGGCAGCACCTGACCCATCATCGGCGCCAAACAGCACCCAAACGGACATCACATCCCAACAAACCAACCGTAAGCTTCAGTCTTACCTCGAGTTCCACATAATTGTAAACTCTTACCAAAACATACGTTTCTCAATAAACCCATTTAATTGTAAACTAATCACTCCTAATAGTGATGGTAAGCCCACGGCTCCTAAACGCCAACCTAGGGCTAAATACAAACCTAACGGACATTAGTTTCCCAAACCTTATCAGACATTAGCCTCTCAAACTCACGGACCATAGCCTCCCAACTTTATCGTACATTAGTTACCTAAACCTCACGTACATTAGTTACCCAATCTTCACGTACATTAGTTACCCAATCCTACCGTACATTAGTTACCTAAACCTTATCAGACATTAGTCTTATCCCTTACGCCTACACCCAATGGCCCAAACCTCCCGGACCATAGCTTCCCAACCCTATCGGACATTAGCCTCCCAAACCCCACTATAAAAAGGGGGGATATAAAGGTATAGTGAGCGCCCTTTCATTCCGGCCCCAATTCATTGGCCCTAATCTATGTGCGCCCAGCAGTACACCCATACCATCGCCTCCCATACCATCGCCTCCCATACCATAACTCCCATACCATAGCCCAAACCCTATGG